TGTGGAGGGTAGGGGGGTGGGGACATCAAAAACGCAGCGCCAATTGGCACGCAGAAATACAAGATGTCGAGGGTGCATGGTATTCCCTGACGGATAGAAGAGAAGTTAATATGACGAGGGGGGTGAAAAACGGCAGAAATGTATTCTTGGAAAACAAATAAATAATCAACATGGCTCGCGCTCGCAATGCTAGATGGTGGTTAAATCAAGTGCAACTGATGACCCAATATTAATGGGTATGGGAAGCAAATGGGTATGCAATTTTGGAACAGGAAGTGAAGGGCTGGTCTCGACTTTGGGTTTCGTAAAACTCAAAGCCGAATGCAAGGCGTAAAGGACGAAAGTAGATGCAGTTCGGGGAATATAGCACAGGTCGCAGCTGGTGTGGCGCATTGAGTATTAAGATAATATATCGAGGTGAATCAATGCGGAAACGGATGCTCCTTGGAGACATTCTATGAAGATGAGAGAAAGGAAGTGAAGTGCTGGAAATATATGCAATTACCAAATATAAATTTGGATTGCTGTTCGTTCCGTCGTTTCTTTTACATCCCACCCTGATAGGTTTGGCTCATTCCCATGTGGGTAGGTGCCAGAGGGAACTGCTGGAGCGCTGCTTGCTGAGCCATATACATAGCCTCCTGCTGGTACGCTTCGCTGTTCATGTATTGCATCTCAGCGGAGGGCGCGGGAGAAGGTGAGCAGCCATGGTGGACAGAGGGCATTCCGCGGGTCATATCATGATTTGCCATTTGTGCATGAGCATGCACGAGTGCCTCATTGTCCGGGGTGATGGGAGGAGTGAGGTAACCATGGGGAATAGCTGTCAACTGCTGAGACTTCTGAGGGGTGGCAAGGCCAATCTCCCCATTGTACGGCTTGGACTCGATAGGAGTCTCGACCGGAGGGGTACAACGGGCGTAAGTTGCCAACGAAGCCTGGCGGGTGAGGAAGTGTTCCATGACCTTGGAGACCCGAGAGTAGTGAGGGGAAGCATACTTGCGGGCGACCACTGTGGAGGGTTGGTGCAACTGCTGAGACAAGGCAACAAGAGTCGCCGAGTCATACTGTGATGACCATTGGGTATGACGGGGCTGCGGTCGGTTAAGAATACAGCGCGACAACGCAAGGGCGGCACGAGCAAGCTCGGATGACAGCTTGGCGACAAAGTCCCGGTGGAACAAGGCAATCTCCAGGATGTACAAAGCCATGTGTTCCACTTCGGGGTCGTAAGCATCGTCTAAAACAGCGTGCTGCAAGAAAGCATCCACAGTCGGGTGTCCAATGGACCAGCCAAGAGTTTGGAGGACATGCCATTCCATCTGGGTGAACATATCGTCATCGTAGAGAGAGCAGCACATCGACTTCAACTCCTTGATAGTGGGAACCCGATCCTTCTTGTCATTGTACTTGGCCGCAATGAGTAGAGCTGCACAGCCAACCAGCTGGTAGTGACGCTTGTAGACCACACGCTTGGAGCAGTATCGGTCTAGAAGGTTGATCGCCAAGAACAAGGTGGATGGCAGAAGCTGGAACGCAGTGTGGGCCTCGATCAAGAAGTCAAGAAGGTAGGGGCGCATGAACCACTGGATCTCGGTTTGGATGTCAATGGATTCGACGTCGGGCAGGGTTTGGTTCTGTGCAATGATCAGGTTAGCAAAATATAACCATGGAAAGAAACCGTAGATCTGATCAAACGTACATCCATTTCCAACATGTGACTCAGGACATCGTCCCGAAGCTGTTCACAGGTGAGAGTAGACAGCTCATCTGCCATAACATACTGACGCTCACGAGCCACCTGCTTCTCATGCTCCTGCTTCGCCTGCCGCTCCTGCCGGAGCCGACTTTCCATGCCGTACTCTTCTTCCACGAAGAAGGTGGGACAAGGACGGTAGTTGCGATGATAATCCATGATTGCAGAAGTACTTGGATCGACCGAAGTATAAGGACAAGTTGATGTATGAGCTTTGTTTTGCCGAGTTTCAATGAGGGGAAGCCTGAAGAGCGAGTCTATCAGGCAACGACGGAATTAAGAGAGTGACAGTCGTGGTATTAGTGTATTGGAATGAGTGACGGAAAGGTTGTATAACGATTAATGAGTGGAACAGCGAGGAATTATAGTTCGTATGCTGGGGAAAGGTGGCCAGGACGTTCGAGGAAGAAGTATTCGAAGGTAAAGGCTGAAAAGAATTAAAATTAGCGACGGCCAGTATTAAAAACGGTTAAAGAATGTAATGTTGAAGTGACGGGAACGCAAGAGTGGGAAAGGAACACAGCGAGGTAGAGATGTATGCTCATATCCACCCAGGAGAGAGGATCATCAGTCCTTCGGAGAAATACTAACCCAGAAAAGAGCCTTCGGGCAGAGGGCACAATGCAACCCTTACCGTGATGGCAAGACTGGCATCTAGGCAGGAATGATCCGATGAATTAAGATTCTGTTGGATACCAACGAAGAGATGAAGTACGAGTCAACGTCTTCACCCCTAGGCTAGTGCTGCGGAATGTGGAGTGCAGGAGGATAACCCTGTGAAGGGGGTCACGATCATCAGGGGTGATGTCTTGGTAACGGAATGGTTGAAACTCACGCTTCACGAATTAACGAGTTGAATGAATAAGGCTCAGCAAAGAGACTAATAACGAGTTTGTGAGATGGAAAGAGTGCTGGTGATTCAAAGATGAAGTCCACGTCGGAAGAGACAGTGGGTATATATCGAAGATTCAGGTGAGCAAGTCCTAGAGTAGGCAACAGTGTCAGCCATACATTCGTTGATAGTCCATTCACAGCAGTCAACAGTCCAAAGGGAAAAGGAATCAATGATTGACGCCAGTCCATCAAGTGCAATGAGGTATGTGGTGGTGTAGCCTGATCGTCGCCCCGAAATTTGGCATGCTCAGTATGGGGATTTTCATCGACCCCTTGAATCTTCCCACACCGGTAGGTATAGAAGCAGTTTAGCCCCTGGGGAGACATGGGATATCAAGCAGAAAGATATGCATTCCAGAATTGTATTTGAGAACATAAATCCCCGCTTCCATGGATGGCAATATTTAGCGCTCAGCAGACTCTTGTCCCCCGTACCTGGCTCTCGGTGTGTGTATTGTCTTGAATTCGAAATGATGCAAAATCGGAGGTATATGAGGCCGGGGTTGCGGCTTGGACATGGCCCTCAGGCCATACCATCATTATGCCCGATGGGCCAATTTTTCATGCACTCTTGGAAAGGAATTTTTTTCGTGTGGAAATTTATTGAATCTTTTGGCTCAGGCTGAGAAGTTCGAATATCGGTTGCTCGTCTATCCATCGGGGCGTTCTGACCTTGACACCATGCACACCTCAAAGCACCGAAGAGAAAAAAAAGGAATTTCTTACCCAAATTTGAAGCTCAATGTTAATCTGACACTGAAAGCGAATTCGTATCAACCACAAGTTAAACTGAATGGATTTCTTATGTCGCTCGTCTAACCGGCAGGAGCTGAAACAGGAGGGTTCAAATCGTCGAGGTCCGAGGATCAGGGAGGCACCGGGCGGACAACGAAGGATCGCCGTTTGAGTTAACAAACGTCGAATTGGAAGATCAAGTACGAAGGTGAATTCGACTTGATTTGAGTGCTAGTGCAGCGGGCTGAAGGAGATTGCGTCGACTGGAATGTCGTCGAACCGTAACTCAGCCAGTAGACCAGACTCTTGGGGGGGTCAGGGGGGAGAGGGGAAAAGGGAAGAGAAAAAAAGGTATGAAGAAGAGAAGGAGAGAGGTACAAGGAGGAGGGTTTTTACTTTCTCTCTCCAGGGTGTGGAAGAGAAAGGAAAAGGAAGAGGTTAAGAAGAGAAGACACGGAGATACACAGAGCTGTATGGTAATCCACGAGACACAGAGTGGAGGCTGAAGGTTAGCCGTATGTACTGTAAATTTACATACACAATTTACGTATTCGCAGATCGGTAATTTTGATAGGTAGGGCTTCTCTGCAAGGATATAAGACAGGAGTTGAAACCTGCTTGAGAATTGTATATGTTATTGAACAGTTCACCCTGTCTAGGAGAGAAGAGATGTAGGCACTGGCATTAGGACTCATACTGAGTATGGGGGTCAAGTACGGAATACTTTGAATATACGTTAAAACGCCTACAAAAACTAAATATTGAGTTCATATAAGAAATCCGATGTATCTACAATATGTAGGCATATAACTTTTGAAACTTGCGTTTTCAACCGTATGCCGCGACCCAGTCATTTTCTTAAACTAGTAATTTGAAGGAGTTTCTCTCGACAGTGGAGAGATCTCCGTCGCTACCGAGACATTTTTCGACATTTCAAGCCCATTTCCCCCTACCTTTTTTTTGTAATATTTCTCATTTATGAGAAGGTAGAATTCTCCGATATTCTATTGCAGTTTCTATTCAAATTCTATAAAGATTAAAGAAACATTAAATGTAGCCAAGAACAGCGAGTTTCGACCCCCCCAAAATGCTCCTGATCGACAAGTATTAAGACCAATCCTTAACCATTGTTGGCTCGTCATCAAGCAACTTGATTACTAGTGCTGCAATGGGCTGGAGTGGCTCTCCTTCTTACCCCGTATGAAGCCTCCGATACGGTCGCGCGTTCCAGGGTCTCCAACTCTGTGGGTGCTGACTGGTCCAGAAGCCTGGGATCACCCTCTCGCGTGTTTTCGCGTCCTCAGCTGGGCTTTGCTAAATTGATAACCCCGAGCCTCCTTTGTCTTGCAGGGATCTGGCGAGTCCATGTGGAGAGATTTCGGGGTTTCGGTCGCAAAAGCAGGTTCTCGCCCCTAAGCCCACGTTTGTCTCTTTTACCTTGGCTAATTAGATTCACTTTAATTAATCCATTTGGATCAATGCGTAATGTAGTCACTTTACAATCCCTAGTCTGCCTGTGATACTGGAACACTTGATTTGTCCCCAGCTTCTCGACACGAGATAAGGTTTATAGACGTCTTGACTTAGAATTGACTGGTTTAGCTGTGAGAATGCTGTTTAACTACCCCGTATTGGCCGCGTAAATTATCCAGATCGGTCTCTACCAATTATATGCCTGTGAACACAATTGCAACTCGGAGCTTTACGGTCTCTCCTTACTTCATCCCCTTACAATGCACAAAGTTCAATGAGAACGCTCTGTAAGGCCCCTCAGGGATTAACCTCAGCCACTCAATTGAATATCCACAGACCTAGAAATATCATGCGACTCGGCCGTTTCTCAATGACATGCACAGGCGCATACACTAAATACAATTGATAAGTCTAGAATACGGAGGAGTGCAGCTTGATATACAGCGCATAAGACTCTACATATACGTAGTGGATTCGTTTCACCTACTTTCAAGGAATGCTGATCGAATCGTTGGCGCCTTTTCATTTAAACCGGGGATGACAGTTGCCGAAGCAATGATGCCCCTATGAACAACGGAGTATTCCCGCCTCGTGCAAGAGGGAAAGAAAGGGGGAAGAGATAAGCGACCCATTAAAGGATATCGGGACTGTACAACGCAAAAGCAAGGGACTCTCAAATAAGAAAACTTTATGATAAAAACACAGCTATTCTGCAGAAGGAGATCACAGACATACTTCTACAATTTCAGTTGAAAATTCATGTCCCATATAACAAGGGACTTTTGTATAGCATTTAAATTATTCGCCAAGGCTTTGATCGTAATGATGTGTACGGAGTACTCCGTCCAGATAATTGTATCTCAATACCTCTTCATATAACATATTGCATAAAGGAACGCACCTGGCCTTTACGCCCGTGGAGGCCTCCTTCCTTGATGAGTCTGACACCATGTACGGAGCACGGAGTACGGAGTACATATTGCGTCGATCAAATTTAGCCCCTATCCAAACACTCTCGATTTAGGCAAATGGCCTACTTGGGTACTCCGGCCCCGGTCCTACTCCGCAGTTAATTTGCATACATTATCCATGTCGGTGGATAGCACCTAATTTTGTATACACTACTGTTGCCTACTCAAGTAGTCCGCCCCCAAATGGCGGGGATGACCTGTACTACCCAGCTAAAAAGTAATATCATAGTCAATTATCGGGATGCTGTCTCACCACTTGAACAACCTGATACTCTGTACTCCGTAAAGCCGCCTAAAGTCTTCCAATACCACAAACTCGAGGAAAACAATTGGACTAAACGCCATATTTGGAGAAAGGGGCTCCGTGAACACATGCAGTAAGAGATCTCATGCAGCAATTACGTGGTCGCAATGGGGCACATCTGGCTGCAGCCGTGCGCAGTCTGATCAAATTAGCACTTACACAATCAGTAAGAGGTACCGTACATGTGTCCACAGAGCTTGCCTAGATGGCTTGGAAACTAGTACCTGACCGATGTACTCCCGCTGCGCCCAGCCGGCGCAGGACCTCCTGAAAAGGGGAAAACGAAAGAGCCTTGCAACCCGGCATGTCAGTCTTGCTATGTTTGTCTCCTGGCTCGTGTCTCCCTGTTTCAAGTACTGGCAGCATGAAGCACTTTAGAGGATGAGAGCAAGTTTAAAGCGCGCGCATATGGCGATGGGCATAATTTGAGCCTGGACTTGGCCTGGAACGTCTATTGGCTGTTTAGCTTTCCGTAGCGGATAAGTTGCAATTTTATCTATTTTTGGGTGTGAGTTTGAACCTCTTATTTATTTTAATCATACGCATTTTGCCTAACGTGGTTCTTTAGATAGAGCATTGCTGCCCAGGTATTGAAAGCGCTTAAGTTCAAGGGGTACCTGATCCTTGTTTGTTAGGTGTTTGGTAAGTAAAGCCTCACTGGCAAACACCCAGCAATGTAAGTCAACTGTTCAAGGAGGTGACCACTTGTCTATGAGCGTAAACTTAAATAGTCTGCCTTCGGTTAGTTTCCCCAGTTGCTGCAAGATCTCGCGATGGGGCGC